AACTATAAATTTATGGTGATCTCAACAATTTCAGCTATGCATTTTTGGATAATGGCCCTTTATCAGAAGGGCATACAGTACGTATTACATAAATGTACCATTATCAAATGTATCATTTGAGTAGAATAATTGATTAATTCCTTTAATTTATATTTTAACAGCTCGTAGTTCCCAAATGTTCGTGCTTCTTTATACTTACTTCTTAGGTATATACTTTCTAATTATAAATCAATTAATTTTGTTTAGGTCACGCTGAATTTCTACATCAACTTCCTGATGAATATCTGGCCGATTTACTTCCGGTTGCAAGAAAAGTAGCGATCGGAACTAAAGCTGATCATTATAATATATTACAGGTAATAATAATCAGGACTGACACAGGCTAGTCAATGGTCAATTTTAACCTGACCAATCAAATTGGTCAAATTGTTCAAATTGTGTATATGCAATATATGTACAGTTACATATATGAATGACGACAAAAGAAACCAGACCTTGGACTTTTAAAGTTTATTATTTATTATTTAGCGTATTCAGCCCTGACGATGCACATATGACTGGTAATTAAAATTTACTTATTATATATATGTCTCTAATCAGGCTGAGTCTAGCAAATAATAATAAATAATAAAGTTCACGAAGTCTGGTTTCACTCATATATTTATATAATAACCCTATTTTTTAATATACCTGACCAATTTGATCAAATCAGTTGGACTAGAGACCCTTTAACCTTTGACTAGCAAATTTTTGGTTAACGATTTTATCAATTCTGGTAATAATAATGTTAACAAGAGAGATTATATTAACAGTTTTTCTTTTAAATTTTTGAAAGAATAACGGAAGCGAAGCACACCAGGTAACATTTTCGATAAAGCATCTTATAAATTAAATATCGAATTTTAACTATTTTATATTTTACTCAATTTCTCTACAGGCTGTGGGACATGTACACGTTCACGTAGTATGTTAATTTATATTTTGCATGGGGATTTTCTTTTCAAATTTCTATGCAATTTAATATTTTTGTTTTCCTTGTTTATACAGATCCCAAAACCAAATAAAGAAGAAGGTTTGGGAATTGTATGGCCGGCTAAAACAGCAAATCTAGATAAACTAACCCCTATTGCTCAAAAAATGATTCAAAATATTGAAGAGAGCCAAAAAGAACACGCGGAGAAGATCTAGTTATTTACTTACATGCTAGCAACAAAAACTTTTTGTTATTGAGGAATAGAAATTGGGCTAGTTTTAGAACTGAAAGTAGATGGTCCCTCACTTTTACCATTTGAAAAACCAGAA